CCAGCTGCACACCCATGCCACCGTGATTGAGACGGTGGCCATGGCTACCACCTGTGGTTCCCTGCGCAGATTGCGAGCAGTTGTGGATTCGTGTTGTCCCTGCAGGAAGCCACAGCCCGCACTGTGCAGAGTGCGTGTTTGGTACTTGAAGGTTGTAAGGTCCCTCTTTTTTATTTATTTATTTTTGTAAGTTCCCTCTTGATCCCAGAGAACCACTGCAGTGATTGATGGGAATGCCGCTGCCCACCTGAGGCTTGTCCCAACGTCGGTGTTCCCTGGTGGCTGGACTCTGTGCATTCTCAACAAGGCGTCTCTCTTGCCTTCTGTCCTTGCCTTCTGGGGTTTGGGGAGGGCTGTGGAAGGGCTTAGGGCCTGCAGGGAACAAAGCGTGGAAACGAGTGGGACTGAAACTGCAGGATGCAGGGAATGGGGAGACGAAGTTGAGTGTAAGGGTTAGAGCTGGAATCCCAGGGCTCAAGTCCAGGGAGCAGTGGGAACCGTGAGACCAGCGAGGCACTGGGCTTGGGCAGGAGCCAGCGGCAAGGCTGGACAGAGGAAAAGATTTGATGGAACCCCTGAGAGACAGGCAGCTAGAGGGGCTGGCAGTCCTGGAGCTCTGCGCTTCTAATCGACAGTGACTTCAGAATCAAGGAGAACAGTTGGATTAGGGTGACGGGTGAGGGAGGTTGTAGGAGTAGCAGAAGGGCCTCCCTCTCCATCCCCCCTGGTGCTGGGTCAGGCCGGCTTGCCTTTCCTCTCCTCCTTCCACCCTCCCTGTCATCTCCATCCTGGAAGCCCACTGGACCCTCTTCGTCTTATTGTAATTAGAGTAGGGACACATTTCCTTGGAGAAAGCAGTCATCCATTAGGCAAAAAGCCATCACAGAAAATGGCATTTGAGTGTATTCCACACTATGGCACCCTTGTTGCTACCACCTCTGTTTTAACAATAATCCGATAACCGATAAGATTTTGTCATTTGAGGACTCTATAAAATCACCTGTTACCACCTTGATATTTAAATTACAAAGTTTTAATTTCTCTGTTAGATAAGTTCAGGCGTTTCATATGTTGGGCGTTAAGCCCTCTGAGGTGGTCATTTGCCACAGGACTGACCAGCATTTGCATGTTCACAGCTTTGGTTCTTAAGAGCGATCTCAGACTTGGTAATAAGCAGAAGGTTTTATTTATGTACTTCAGAGTGAAGCCTGGGAGTTGTTCCTGGTGTCTCTATTAAAGGAATCAGAAGCCTCCTTTTGAGGCAGGATTATGAATTCAGGAGTGCAAGAGCATCCGCTCAAAGATGCTTTCTTATTTAGGAACCCCCCCCCCCCCCCAGGATAGGGGAGGGAAAGAATAAAATGGCAGGAAATGATGCTGTTGTCACGTGGGAGAGAGGAACCCTCCCTTGCCTTACGCTCTCTTCCTGTCAGGTAAGGACACGCTCTCTGGCTTTTAAAGTGCCGGGAGCCCAAGAACAGTTGTCAGAAAATAACAATATGTCACCAGAAGAAAGATGGATTCAAAGGTGAACCCTAGTAAACTAACATGTGGTCTGCAGCTTGCTGCCAAATCAGCAGATGCACTCACCTCTCTCCAAGGGCAGGGAAACCTTGTCTGTGGTAAAATACCACTTCCATCCTCCCGGGCCACCAAGCTGAAAGGATATCTCTTTTATGTCTTATGATCCCTCCCTTATCTCATGTGCACCCAGTGTTTATCCTAGAGTTTTTGTTTCCCCCAATTCAACTCTTTTCCTATTCCATATTTGCAGAATTGATTTCTTATCTTTTGTGTATTTCTACATGCTAAATTTGACTTCCTACCCAGAGGGTCAATCACCAGACCCATCGAGTCGGATCTAGTGTATCTTATTTTGGTTTCCTGTTTTTGTTTGGGGGCTGCACCCAGCAGTGAGCAGGGATTAGTCTTGGCTCTACTCTCTGGGGTCCCTTCTGGTAGAGCTTAAGTGACCATCTGGGGTACCATTTGGGATAGCAGCAGTTAACCCTGGGTCAGCCGTATGCAAGGGGAGTACCCTACCCACTGTACTATCTCTCCGTCTCCCAGATCTAATGCATCGTATACCTTATAGTGAGTGGAATCATTGCTAACTTCATCCTGAACATGGGTCTAAGGATCAGCTGCTTCTGTTGTATCTCCTTTTTACCCACTTTTTTTTTATTGATTCACCATGAGGTACAGTAACACAATTTTCATGTTTGAGCTTCAATCATAGTCATCAAACCCTTATCCCTTCACCAGTGCATGTTCTCCACCACCAAAATCCCCAGTGCCCCCCCCCCCATTCCACACCTCCCCCTGCCTGTGTGGCAGACAATTTGCACAAATCATAACATAACTGATTTCCTTTTTACCCACTTTTGGACACCAGTGTACATTCCCAGTTTTCACTCGCCTCTGTTACTGTCATTGTCCCACTCATTTCCATTGAGCCTGAAGATTTCTCTCTGCCAAATTACAATTAAATTGTGTGTAGGTATGTTTATGGAAATACTACATGTTCAGTAAAATGAAAAGGTGAACAATTTGGGGCCAGAGAGATAGTACAGCAGGTAAAGTACTTGCCTTGCATTCAGCCAATCTAGGTTCAATCCCCAGAATCCATAGGGGCCCCTCAGTACCACCAGGAGTGATTTCTGAGTGCAGAGCCGGGAGTAACCTCTGAGCATCACCAGGAATGACCCCAAAGTCAAAAAATGGGGGGTGAATAATTTATACGGTTAAAGGATTTGAAAAATATTAAAATTTTTTAACTTTCCATCTTGAAAGAGCACTCCTTTGGGAGACATGCTTTTGGCAAGAGTGGGTATTTCTTAAGATAAGTTTCCCAGGTTTGTAATCTTGACTTTTACCTATTGACTTTTCAAGGTTACTTTGAAATTTGGTGTTTATTTTAGAATACACATTTAGAACATAACTCCTTACAAACAAGCATAAAATTCATTTCTTGGTTTTAAAAATGCCTTTTCAAGTAAAAATGTATTAACTTCTATTTTTTTCTCTTGAAAATGTACCTAAAATTTCTTATATAAAGTTGAATACTAAGTCTTAGAATTGGCAGTAAAACAGAACATTTAATTTTAAAAGAGTGTTAAAAAAATCAACAACTTTGAAATATATAGTATTAATTAAAAAGTTGTAAGACATTTTATGGTTAAATTCATCAGAATTCCATTTTTAAGCCCATTAAAGTTCAAAGTCATTACGAACTTAGCAATTTCCAAGAGGGGAAAAATACCAAATGTGGTTTTATAACTTTCTCTAATGAAGGCTCTATTATAATCTAATTCAGTATCACTCGATATCTTTTCTTGAAATTAACTTTTGCTTCTGTGGAACCTGTAGCTAAATTTATCGGCCTGGTTTGGATGTCTTGTTTTTTTAATTCTAGCACAAGATTTTCTTTTGTGAGTAGATGTTTCTTAAAATATCAAGAAATGAGTAGTTTTCATACCTGCAGTTAAGACTTGAAAAAAAAATCAAGTGCATAATATTACACGTTACTCAGATTTTCATTCTTAAAAGTACAAACATTATCTTAAACTCCAGTTTTGTGCCATTTAAGTCTTTTTACCTATTCTCCCGCATATGTCACCAAGCTTTACTCATGTGCTCTTTTGTTTAAGGGCTCTGTCCTAGCCCATGCCTATGTTAACTGGGGGGGCGGGGGACCCAGCAGTGCTCAGGGGACCATTCAGTGCTGAAGACTGAACTTGGGCACTCACATGCAAAGCATATACTCAAGTCCTTTGAGCTGTTTCCTCGGCGCTTGTTTCATCTTTCAAGAAATAACTACAGTAGAATCTTTTTATTTACTTTTTTATTTTTTTTTTAAATTTTATTAAGTCACTGCAATTTACAGAGTTCTTCATAGTGAAGTTCCAGGCATATATCGTTCTAACCCAAAACTAATTTTACAAAGTGATAGTAACCAAAACAGCATGTTATTGGAGGAAAACAGACTAATGAATCAATGGAGTAAGATTAAGAGCACAAAAGTGAATTTGCACATATATTGTTAATTTATGAGAAAGGAACCAAGACCATACGAAGGAGAAAGGAAAGTCTCTTCACCAAATGGTGTTGGGAAGCATGCACAGCCCATGCAAAAAAAAAAAAATCAAAACCTGGTCATTATTTAATATGATATAAAAATTTACTTAAATGGATTAAAGACTTCAATATAAGACCTGAATCCATAAAGTATATAGGGAAAAAAACCTCAACTTCACCTGTAATATGGGAAATGAAAATCTGAAAATCTATTTGACATCACCTCTTAACTGTGAGAACGGCCCACATCAGAGGTTCCCAAACTTATCGGGCCTACTGCCTCCGTTCAGGAAAAAAAAAATTACTCAGTGCTCTCCTTGAAATCTACCTTTTCTAAGTGAACAAACAGAAAGAACCCCCAGTGTTGCCCCTTAAGCTACTGCTGCTTCCTGGATTATTCCAGTGCCTCCCCCCTAGAGGGTGATATCACCCCGAATGGAAAGATTGGCGTATATTTTCAAAAGTAAAAAGTTATAAACAAGTTCTACGAAGTATGGAGGACGAGAAAATATCATACACTGTTGGTAGAAATATCAATTGATATGATCTCAACAGAAAATTAAAACTGCCATAACACATCAAAATTGCTTCTTTACATTTTTAAATAAGAGTTTTTTGGTGGGGTAGAAGGAATCTCTCTGGTCACCTGAATGACATTAGAACTTTAGTGGTGAGTGTGGTGAGTTAAATGCACCTATCCCATTGCATACTGTATTTACAAACCTCATATGGTATTAAAATCCAGGGAAAAGTTAATAGAATTCTATAAAAAACAACAATGATAATGAAAAGTAGAATGAGAAAGGATATTCTTGATTATAGGGTTGGTTCTACAGTGCCCCAGAGACAAGCTGTCTCTTTCAGGGCAGTGAAAGGAGCCAAAGATGAGATTCTAATGGGATTCTCTATCTGTTTATCTGCAGACTGCAGCTGAATATGTAAAATCTCGACTCCCAGAAGCCCTTAAACAGCATCTTCAGGACTACGAGAGAGACAAAGAAAACAGTGTGTTGTCTTACCAGACCATCCTTGAACAGCAGATTCTGTCAATTGACCGAGAAATGCTAGAAAAATTGACTGTATCCTATGATGAAGCAGGTATGTTTGTCTTTATACACACAGTTGTATTCCTTGAATAAATCTTTCTATAGAACTCAGTTAAATGAAGACTTATCTCTGATGTGAAGGTCAGTCAAAATGGACTCAAAGTTCCATAACATGAATTAATAGTAGTAAATTTAATAACGATTCCACAATATAACATGTTGCTGAGTGTAGTTTCTCATAACTATGGGGACCCAGGGAAAGAGGAGATGGTTCCTAGGTCTAGGACAGCGGATGCTTATAGACTCACATGCCCAGCGTGGTAGAGACATGGCCGCCCATATGGGCCCATAGGATTATAGTCATAAGATAGAGTTTAATGGGAAAGGCAATGGTTAAATAGAGGCTGAGGGAGAGTGTCTCTGTGCACTAACGAGCAGGTGGTGGAGGGAGGCAGAGTGTTATCATGACTAGGAAGAAACTTCTGGAGCACTGCCCTTGATGTTCCAAGGCAGAAGAAAGGGTGAAGTATTGCTGACACCCAAAGATGTCTGTTTTCCATGTCTCAAACAATCGGCCACAGGCAAATCAAGGGCAATTAATTTATGTTATTCTTAGAAATGTCAGGTTCCCCTGGCAACAGTCCAGTTCCCAGAGAAGTCAGGGCCCAGGGCACTCCCAACAAGCCCAACGACCTCTAGTGGTCAAGGGGTCTTGCCAGGAAGAACTCCAACAGCTGTTCTGTCAGATATAGAGCAACTTTTGACAAGTGGCATTATCTAGTGAAACTGGTATTGTATATATACACCATGAACCATTGGATCCATCACTAGGTATCATTAGAAAAAATATGTATCCTTAGAAAAATTTACGTATTTATTATAAAAAAACATAAGAATATTTGTAAATTTTTTAAATAAAAGGAGAAATTAGAAAAAATAAGTGCAAATAAACTATGCCATAAATACCACACATCAATGAAAAGACTATAGTTATAGCTATGTATATAGATGGCATGAAAGTTATGAAATATGATCTAAATTTCAAAGAGACAGGTAAAAGAAGAAGCACAGAATGAATGTATTTTTGTAAAGATAAAACAGAAATAAATAGCACGTTGCTGTGAGGGACATCCCTTTGTGATTAAGCCCTAAAGAAAAACAACGTTATGATTAAGAAAATTAAACACAGCGGGTAGGGCGTTCGCCTTACAAGCGGCCAACATGGCCGACCCGAGTTCGATTCCTCCGCCCCTCTCGGAGAGCCCGGCAAGCTACCGAGAGTATTCGATATGCCAGACACAGTAACAACAAAGTCTCCAATGGAGACGTTACTGGGCCCGCTCGAGCAAATCGACGATCAACGGGAGGGCCTTTACCTTACCTTACCTAAAACTAAAACCATTTCCAGGTGGAGGGAGTAGAGTGAGATCGAAGAGGAGTGGATAAGCCTTCCCTGAATTGCGCCTCTTAACCCCTAGGCTGGTTTTGCCTACCTTTCTGTTCTAGTACTTACGTTGATGTTTTCTTAGATTTAAGTGTCCCTTAGAGGACAGAAAAAGCTTTCTCTTGTTTGTGGTGTGGAGGGGGGAATTTCATGGCCCTCAACCTCCAGGTAACTTTTACAATCCTGTCACTCTACTTTCTCATTTTCCTGGAGTCCATAAATAAATTTGTGGATTTCTGAGCCACAGAGGAGCCCTGTTTGGGTTTTTTTGTTTGTGTGTTTTAATTTTTATTAAATTAATGAAACACCATGAGGTACAGTTGTAGTCTTACAAATTTTTGTGCTTGGGTTTCAATTATACAATGATCGAGTACCCATCCCTCCACCAGTGCCCATTCTCCACCACCACTGATCTCAGTATCCCTCCCACCCCCTATCCCCCCCATCCCACCCTGCCTCTGTGTTCTCTCTCTCCTTTGGGGTGCTGTGGTTTGCAAAAGAGGCATTGAGTGGCAATCATGTTCGGTCTATAGTCTACTTTCAGCATGCCTCTCCCATCCTGGGAGGATCTTCCCAACACCCTCTATTTGGTGTTCCCTTCTCTATCTGAGCTGCCTTTTCCCCTAGCATGTGCGAGGAGCCCTGTTTTTGATCATTTTACTGATTAATAACAAAAATCTGGTTGAATCCCATGGAGAAAGTCACTACCATTTATTTTATTAAGTGGAATGAGTTCCCATTTGGTATTTGCCAAAAGCCTCCTGTGACCAGGGTCAGAAAGATAGTACAGCAGATAGGGTGTTTGCCTTGCATGACCCAACCTGGGTTCAGTCCCCAACACCCCATATGGTCCCAGTCGTGTGCAAGGGAGCTCTCCAGGAGAGATCCCTTCACGCAAAGCCAGGACTAAGCCTTGAGCACCACAGGTGCGGCCCCCAAACTAAAACAAAAAATTCTCCTGTTGTGAGACAACCCTCAACATTCATCTCCTAGTATGCACATCCCGTAGTCTGCCCCCGTGGGAGGAGACTGGAGAATATAATGGACTCGTGGCTCCTTGATGAGCAAAGTGATGTGGCTTTGAAGCTGCTATGTGACAAGAATAGAGGAGGACCATGTGACTAGGAACTAAGGCCGACCACTAGATGCTGAGAGGGTTCCAACAGCAACCAACAATGCAAACCTCAAGGAATGCAATTCTGCCAGAAACCAGAACGAGTTTGGAAGAGCTCCATATGAGAACTGTAGCTCTGTGGTACCCTTGAGGGACTCTAAGTGGAGAACTTAGTAAATCCTCGGACCCAGGGGCTAGAGCATTAATACAGAACGGCAGGTAAGGTGCTTGCCTTGCACATGGCCAACCTGGGTTCGATCCCCAGCATCCCATTTGTTGTGAGCACCGCCAGGAATGACTCCCAAGCGCAGAAGTGCAAAGCTAGGAGTCATCATTCAGCACTGCTGGGTATGGCAAAAAAAAACAAACAAAAAAAACTGGGCCCCAAAGAAATTCTGCAATCCTAAGTCTGTGTTGTTTTAAGCTGTTAACTTTGCAGTAAGACGTCATGCAACAACAGAAAAGTGATATAACCATATCTAAAGGCATACCAGCTTGATGAGCTGCCAACCTAGCTGGGACCTTTCTTCCTTACCTTTCTGCAAATTTTCATAGAATTATCAGTTTGGGCCTTTCAGCCAGAGTTGATATCCTCTGCTTTTCTCTGTAAAAAAAAAAAAAAAGAAAAGAAAAGAAAAGAAAAGAAAAAGGAAAAAAACTACAAAAAATGTCTAGTTTAAATTTTATTCTCCAGATGATCTTTCCTCTATTTCTTCCCAAGAAATAACTTCATGTTCCAGGAACAAGTCACCAGACAAGTCTCTCTCCCTCCCTTCCCCCCTTTTTTCTTTTCTCTCCCCATCCCTCTTAACCTCCATTTCTCCTTTTATTCCCTCTTTTATTCTTCCTTTCTTTGCCTTTCATCCCTTCCTTTCCTTTCTCCTACCAACACTTCAAGAAGCACATGCTTGTAGAGATTTTAAAAAAAATGGAGCTGAAGAATTAGGACAGGGGTTAAGGCACTTGATTTCCATACAACCAACCATTTCAATCCCAGTAACCCAAGAACCACCAGGAGTGACCCTTGAGCACAGAGCCAGGAATAAGCCCTGATATCAGCTGGATGTGGCACAACCTCTTCCCACCCCAAAGACAATATTTTTTAAAAATTTTTATTAGTGAGACACCATGAAGTACAGTTGTAGACTTACAAATTTTTGTGCTTGGGTTTCAATTATACAATGATCAAATACCCATCCCTCCACCAGTGCCCATTTCCCACCACCACGGATCCCAGTACCCCTCCCACCTCCCATCCCCCCCATCCACCCTGCCTCTGTGGCAGGACATTCCCTTTTGTTCTCTCTCTCCTATTGGGTGTTGTGGTTTGCAAAAGAGGCAATGGGTGGCAATCATGTTTGGTCTATAGTCTACTTTCCGCATGAGGACAATATTTTTTTTAAGGAGCTATTGAGTTAATGATGGAAACAAACTACTACATGGTCAATTTTCTATTCACGGGCAAACAGCTAAGGAATATGAGAGAAAAGAAGATAATTATGCAGAAATCTTTTTCTTTCCTGTTGTCATACACTCACTCTCAGTGGAGGATTAACTGTGTAAGCCTCTAAATTGCTACTCAAAAGAGATGGTGTTCCTTTATTTTATTTTTTGGGTTTGGGGCCACACCCAGCCATGCTCAAGGGTTACTCTTGGCTCTGCACTCAGGACTTACTCTGGGCAGTCCTTGTGGGACCATATGGGATTTTGGAGGTTGAGTCCAAATCAGCCGTGTGCAAGGCAAATGCCCTACTTGTTATACTATCTCTCTGGTCCCCAAAGTTCTTTTAAACTGATTTATGAACCATGTAGATGGAAAGCACGTAATGAAGACAGTGTAATGGTTTTTTATGCCTGCATTGCCTTGTACATTTGAACCAGCCCATTAATTTCTATCATTCATATATCATTTTCAAAATAAAGACTTGGTTCTAATAGTCAGGTATCTATGATTTCATAATTACCATCCTGTTGCATTGAAAGTAATAATAGTTCTAAATGACTATTTGTCACTTATTCCTGAATCCACTTCTAGAGTCTGATGATTAGAGCATTTCTCTTTCACTCTACATCTTTTGTATTTAAAAACTAACATATTTTAAATAAAATGTTGATGATCTGCTCCCAGTACTGTACCTGAGCAGTTTTAACCATAGACAAAATTAGAGTAATATAATTAGAGTAATTTTCTGTCATCAAAAGGAGTTTGTTAGTAGTGTTTAAATTTTCAAGTAAAAATAGAATCCAGTCTAAATTCCAGAGCAAATAGATGATGTAATACAAGGATTCATCACAGATTCCCAGTGAGGTTGGGTGTTCAGCTTTTTAAAAAATAATATTTCTTCCAGATTTAGAATTATAAAGGAATAGACATGTAGTTGTTTGACTCTACCTTTTATATATAGAAATATAAAAGGATATACTTTTAATGTAGAGAAATATTTAGGGTGTTAGAAGAGTTCAAAACAGTTCAAAGTGTATGTACTTGTTTACA